TTGGGGCTCCCAACGACCGTTTCCACGGCCTCCAATTGCGTCCAAGCTTCTCAGCTTCCCAGGCCTGGCTCAGACCCAGCTCCCTGACATGGGGTGGACACCAGACTCGGGGGTATGGGGCAGGGGTCCTCATTCCCCCTCCCAGTGCTCCCCACTCCAGCCCTGGGGGTCCAGACAGAGACCATGTGGGGTGTAGCGGCTTCCTCCCCTCCCTCCCCTCCTTCCCCATTTCACTCCCACCTGTCCCCAGGGGCGATGCCCAGCGGACGCCTGCCAATCAGATGGCTTCCTTTGGAATATCTCCCTGCCCCCTGCTCCCACTAAGGTCCCCACATCGGAAACGGGACCCAAGGGAGACCCTCCAGGGCAGCCCTCCTGCACCACTGGGCCCCTTTGGGAAGAGCCCTCCCCCGGCCCGGGGCTGTCATCCCGCTCCCCCCACCTCTGCCCCTCCACCCTGCATAGGGGGTGTGTCCTTGTGTGCCCTGTGTGGATGCCTGGGGGAGACGCTGAGCACTGCAGTCTTTTTGGGGTCTGCTGGGCCTGGGGTCTAGGGCGTCCTATCCGGGGGTCCCCAAGGGCACTCCTCTGGCTCCCTCCCTTACACACTGCAGCTGACCCACTGTTGCCTTCCTGTCTCCTCCTGGGGGTCAGGTCCTTAGCTCTGGGCCCTGAGCACTTTCTGTAGAGAACCTGCCCTGGGTGACTCCACCACCCCCTCCTGGACCCTTGCTAGCCCAGCTCTCCACTTCCTCCGAGGCCCTGCCCCCACGCCCACCCCCCTCATAAGATTCAAACACCGCCCCCCCACTGATGGCCCCACCCCTGGCCATTTCCATGGGGTCCTATTGGTCAGAGCTCCGTGAGCTCAGGTGTCCATCACCCTTCCTTGCCTGGTCTTACCTGGCTCCAGCGTGCAGGGCAGCAAAGGGAGCAGAAAAGAGTCGAGGCCAGTGGCAGGGTCAGGGCACTGAGGTTTGGGCCACTGGGGACGGTGCTCAGGGGCTGTGGCTGCCCTTGTGCGAGGCCCCTCCCCAGGCTGCTGCCTCCTGCAGCCCCTGCCGCAGCCCCCTCTCTGTCTCTCAATGGCTCTTCTCCTTTGTGGGGCTTGGGGACCCCAGATCCCAGGGATGCAAGTGGACCCAGCACCTGCCCCTCTGCCTCCACTTTCCCTTAGGGAGGCAGCCCAGGGCCCCAGGCCCTTGAAGCAGCCTGGGGAGCCTGTGGGGAGAGGTGGGGGTTGGGGTGGAGGGGACTTTGGCCCTGGAACCAGGGCAGGGGCAGAGGGGACACCAGGCTGCAGCTCCTGGGTTCTGAGTGCGCCCCCTGCTCCAGCCCAGGTGTTCCTGGTGGTCTTGATCTTTGTGCTCCTGAGCCGGGCCTGGACCCTTGGGGTCCTCTACCTGGTCTGGCTGTACTGGGACAGGGACATACCCAGGGCCGGAGGCCACCGCTCTGCCTGGGTCCGGGACTGGGCCATCTGGAGACACTTCTAGAACTACTTCCCCATCTCCAAGAGGGTGCTGGGGACACTGTGTTGGGGAAGGTGAGGCTCACAGGAGACTGGGCACCTGCCTCCCCCAAGCATAGCCTCAGGGACCGGTGGGGCTGTGGCCCCTGCTCCCAGCTGGTGAGGACGGCCCAGGTGCCTCCCTCCTGGAATCACCTCTTCCACGTCCACCCCACGGAGTCCTGGTGGCCAGGACGGTGGCAGCTGCTACTTGGAGGCCTCAAGCTTCACCTGCCGGAGGACAAGGCGGGGCCTACCCTGGGGCTTTGGGGAGGGGGACTTGCTGGCTTCATCACCAGCCGCACCCAGCACTGCCGATCTCAGTCCAGGGGTCCCGGGGGCCTGGAGATGGATCCGCTGGGCCTGGGAGCAGCACCACTCCTGTCTGTGCTGAGCTGGCCCTGCTGAGGGGCTGCCTGCCCCACCCACAGTGACAAGGCTCACCTGCAGCCCCACCTGGTCAGAGCAGCTCAGGGATGGACGCTTGCTGGCTGTCAAGTACTGCGGATGTGGCCCAGTGTTGAGGACCTCCCGCGGGCCCCCAGCTCTCACGCCGGCCTCACCCCTCCCCCTCACCTCCCTGGGCCAGGGGTGAGTCACCGTGGCAGGTGGTGCCATAGCCCTGACCTTCACCGTGGCCTCCTGAGGGTCTGTGCAAGGAAGCTCAGTCTATAACTCTGCTGTCTCAATCAACACATCTTCCAACAACAACAAAAGACAGCAGACCAAAGACGCGGATCAGGAAGCAATGGCACTGAGCTGACACATCCTTAGAGGTAGCCTCAGAAGGACCACGTGGGACAGAAGCCCACAGCGAGTAGGGAGCAGCAGAGAGTGCAGAGCTCGGTCAGCCCAGCCTCATCAGGACTGGCGGCCCCAGTTCCCATTCCCACCCCTCACAGGCCCCACTGTGTTCCCATCAGCCCCTAGCAAGGCCTGGGAGGAGCGTAGCGAGAACCCTCACTCTGCTCCACTACCCCATCCCGGCTCCATGCCCAGGTCCACCCCGATGTAGTCTTGGAAGACTGGAAGGTAGAAGAGGCCGGCCAGTGTGGCTAGCCAGGGCTGCAGCCCCGGGAAGCGCTGGGAGAAGGCATTGCACTCGGTGGTGAAGTTACAGAAGGCTCCGGTGTACATGACCCCGTGGGGGTGGGATCCCAGCACGTAGTTCTGGCTGGGGGGCAGCTCTGCTGTCTTCACCAGCTGCAGGAGAGGAGGGAGGCAGAGAGGGGGGACAGCAGCTGCAGGTGCTGCCTCTGCCCCCTGCTGACCTCAGAGGTCAAGGCCCCGGGATGGGATCAGGTGCACCTCTCCACCCCTGCCCCTCTGTGAGCCTAGGCAGCGGCACTCAGGCTGCAGGACAGGGAAGGGGGAGCAGGTGCAGGGGAGTGGGGTTAGATGGGGAGGAGGTGTCTCTAGGGAGGTGGTGACCCCTCACCTTGATAGAAAAGTAATCCCTTTGATATTTCCAGATGGCCCAGGTCCTTGGCCACACAATCTGTCTTCCCCTGCGGCAGAGATAGTGCTGGCAGAGCTCCCCAGGCACCCTCCCCATCTCTCCCCACCTGGAGCCCTGCCCAGAGCTCACCTTGGCTGGGAGTGTTCCAGTCCAGGTAGATCCACAGCATGTAGAGAACAGACAGAGGCCTGAGCCATGTGAAGAGGAGGAAGAGGAGAAGAACCATGGCGAAAGGGACTGGGGAATGGTGAAGAAGAAAAATGGATTTCTCAGGATCCCCAGTTCTGCAGCCACACCTCCCGTCCTCCACCTGCAGGAATCCGCTGGCCTAGGCGATCGCCCTGTCAGTCCCCGGGTGTCCAAGCCTCCACAATGCGATCTTCCCTCCAACGCCCTCTCCCCGGGCAGAGCCCCCATTCCCTTCCCCCTTATTCTCACCTAGGAACAGAAAAGCAAACACATAGTGGGAGATGCCCACTACTTCCAACCACTGCTTCTGCAGGGGCTTCCCAGTGCCAGGGGGCACTGCGGCTGCGGAGAAGTCCATCTTGGTAGCCATCTCTGCCTGCAGGGCTCCAGGTGGGGTCACCGGTGTCCCCTCTCCCAGGGTCCAGGCAGTGGCTGGGGAGATGCGTGGATTGGGAGCCCCAGAAGTGTCCAGGCTCCCTCTGAGACTGATCTTTGAAAGTCTTGGCTCTGTCAGTCTGGGCTGACCCTGGCAGGAGGGGGTGCGGGTGGGGGTGTGCAGGGGAGGGGCAGCACCTGAGGAGGGAGTGGCTTTCCAGCAGGTCAGCCCGCCCACAGGGCCCAGGTGCAGGCAGTGGCAGCAGCCACCTGAAACAGGTTGAGCACTAGGTTGAGTGGTTCCCTCTCTTCAGATCTCTGGGAATGTCCGGTCTCCCCCAGGTGCCACCGCAGGCCCCGAGATGCCCGGGACCCCTCCCAACATGCACACCAACACATCAACCCCAGGAATTCTTCTCTACTTTACTTCCCTTGGTCTCCCTTCCCCTGCAGCCTAAGAAAGGCCTCCCTTGGGCCACAAGGTGGCCACCGACCGCCTAGGAGAGAACAGGAAGGGACACCATCGTGGGCGTCTGCTCCTGGAGCTGCTGCCTGAGCTACTCCGTGTGGAGCGCAGACAGCACGTCCACTGTGTCCTTCTGCATCCGGACTGACTGCAGGTGCACCAGCGGTCACCGGGATCCCCGGCCCTACTCGACACCAGAAACAAGATAGGGACAGATACAGGGCTGGGGCGTTGGCCAAGCCCACCATGAGCCTAGGTCCAGCTCTGCCTGTGCAGCCCAGAGCAGGAGGTCAGTCCCCAGCAGGGATGGGGACAGGCAGCAGGGAGCCCATGGAAAGACCTCTCTCAGCAGGGGCTCAGAACCTCCTGCACCTGCCCTCCCCAGCCTGTGGGTTCCATGGCGGACAGCTGGAGGCCCTATGGTGTAGCCAGGCAGCTCAGCCCTGTCCCTGCTGCCCAATCCTTCCCCACGGCCAGTCCAGAGCCAGGGATGCGGCTTAGCCGGGTGCTCCAGCATCCACTGCCCCAGTCCACTCTGAGTCCATGTCCGCCAGGTTGGAGCTTGGGTTTAACTTCCATCACCTCAAGCACCTCCCACAACCAGGACAGCCTCTGACTGCCCCAGGCCCGGACAGCGGTCACGCAGCCCTGCATCGGCAGAGGACCCCAAACCCAGAGGGCAGGTCCGGCTGGGGGCCTCACACCAGGTTTTGGGGACGAGAGCAGAGAGGGCACTGGGGAGGTTATGCTGGGCTCGGAAGCTGTTCCCTTGCATAAATCACCTGGGAGAGGGGCAGCTCTCACCTGGACATGAAGCAGTTCCAGAACACGGGCAGGTGGAGCCCGCAGGGCAGATGAGCAGGTGCAGCCGTGTGGGAGAAGCTCAGGTCTCCATGTGAAGTTGCTGCCAGCCCTGCCCTCCAGCACTCTGTGGGGTAGAAGTGGAAGAGGTGATTCCAGGAGGATCTGACTGGGTCGTCCTCACCAGCTGGGGAGCAGAGCGGGCAGCACCACCCGGGCCTGAGGCTGAGCTTGGGGGAGAAGGGTACCCAGTATTCTTAGCCTCACCCCACCCCCAGCACAGCGTCCCTGCCATTACATGGAGAAGGGGAAGTAGTCCCAGAAGTGTCTCCAGACAGCCCAGTCCCGGACAAAGGCAAAGCGGTGGCCTCCAGCCCTGGGTGTGTCCCTGTCCCAGTACAGCCAGACCAGGTAGAGGACCCCAAGGGTCCAGGCCCGGCTCAGGAACACAAAGATCAAGGCCACCAGGCACACCTGGGCTGGAGGAGGGGGCGCACTCAGAACCCAGGAGCTGCAGCCCGGTGTCCCCTCTACCCTTACCCTCCCCACTCCCACCCACACCCCCACAGGCTCCCCAGGCACATGGGCTGCCTCCCTAAGGGAAAGGGGAGGCAGAGGCGCAGGGCCTGGGCAGGGGCACCTGCATCCCCAGGATTTGGGGACTCACCGAGCGCTAAGAAGGAGAAGACCCACTGGGAGACAGCGAGCACTTGGAGAGCCCCGCGGAGGGGGCTGCAGGAGGCCGCCATCTTGGAGGGGGGGCCTTGCCAGGGGTGAGTTCTTGTTATTCTTTTATTTTATTTATTTATTTTTAAAGATTTATTGGAGCCAGCACTGTGGCTTAGCGGGTATGGCCACAGCCTGCAGTTCCGGCTTCTCATATGAGCACCTGTTCGAGTCCTGGCTGATCCACTTCTGATCCGGTTCTCTATTTTATCCTGGGAAAGCAGTGGAAGATGGCACAGCTCTGACCCCCCCAGCTGAGCAGGATAAGGAGGCTCCCCTAGAGCGAGCCTGCCAGGTGCAGGGCAGAACCCCGGGGCAGCGGCCGGCGTGTGGCCCAGTGCTGAAGATGGCCTCTCCCAGCCCGAGTGCCTGGGTGGACACCAGCTCTGGCTCCTGACCCAGCTCCTTGCCAAGGACTGCGGGACCGGTTGCCCTGACTCGTTCCTGTCACTCACAGGGAGTCCTGGGTGGAGACATCGGGTCCTCACCTCAGCCCCGGCCCTGAAGCTGCTGTGGACATTTGTGGACGACCCAGAGGACGGGGGCTCCCACGGCCATGGGTCCGTGAGCCTCTCAGATGAACACTGCATCCATTTTTACAAGAGCCAAGTGAGGACACAGAGCAGGCAGCAAGAGCACTGAGCTGTCACGGGGTCTTGAAGGGTCTCGGAGGGACGACGGGGACAGAAATCCACAGTGCACGGGGGACGGCAGAGAGCGCAGAGTTCGGTCAGCACAGCTACGTCAGGACCTGGGGCCTCTTTTCCCAGTCCCGCCCCTCACGGGCTCCCACACAGCCCCTAGCAAGGCACAGGGAGGAGCGGGGCTGCCCTCACTCTGCTCCACTCACTCTCCCCAGCCCCACACCAGGCCCAGGCCCAGGCCAGAGCCCCTGCAGCCTCCTTACCAGGGAGGGCGAGATTCGCACCCTGGGACCCAGAGTGGACACTTGATTCCCATCAGAGGGAGGCAATTACATCAGCAGCTTCAATGACTGCCACGCTTCTCGCCCCGGGTGACCCCAGAGGCCAGGGCACCGCCCAGCGTTGTCCATGGGATGAGGGAGAATTGGACTGGAAAGGGAAGGATGAAGTAGCTTCCCCGGACAGTCCGCACCTGCTGCTTGTTTATGTCAGGGGTGCACAGAGCCGGGGAGCACAGAGGACGCTCTACCCACACCCAGTGTGCTGAGTGTCCCCTTCAATGTTACTCGGACCCCAGGGAGGCAGGCAGAGGAGGTGTGGATCCCTTGGTGGGAGGACCTGGATTCACCTGGTCATTTGCAAGAGGCCTCTGCGTCCCGAGACTCTCTGTCTCCGTGTGACCTGGTTCCAGTGGAACTTCAAATCTGCCACTCGCCATGGAGGCATGAACATGACCTCAGGTACCACTGAGGCTGAGATCTGAACTTCTAACAGCGTTTCTTAGCAAATAGCTGTGACACCAAACTGATGGAGACTAACTCTGGGACCATTGGTCTCAGTAACACCACGCCGGCAATGATGACACCAAGAGTGGTTGTAGGGGCATCCCTGGCTCTTATCTCTGCCCATCTCAGCCTTTATTGGAGGGACAAAGCAAGGTAGGGAGGAGTGTATCAGGGCAGAGGACGTGGGGTCTTAGCAGAAGGTGAGGTGGGTGGAGGCAGGGACCCCGCAGCTCTCCTTGTGCTCCTCAAACAGCCGCTCCAGGGCGTCCATGTAGAGCCTGTGGTAGTGGTCAACTTGCTCCTGGCTGGGGCTGCTGCACTGGGGCACGGGGATGGGGCCGCCCACTGCAGGGGAGGGAGACACGGGTGAGCCAGAGCTGCCGCTGGCCGTGCCGCCCACGGCAACCTCCTGCCTGCAGATGGGCACTCACCCACAGTGGTGATGGGCACGGGCAGGGGCAGCAGACCCCAGGACTTGTGCAAGAAGAGACCACGGCCCCAGAAGATGCAGGGAGCTATGCTGGTGACCCTCTTGCAGGTGACCTGGCACAGGTACTGCCAGGAGCCTTTGGAGAAATTCATACCTTTGAAGGTGTCGTTCTCCCCAAAGGAGTACACAGGCACCAGGGAGGCCCTGGGAGGGGTGAGGAAGAGACAGGACACAGATCAGGGTCCGGGTCTGCCCTGTCAAAGCCCTTGGGTCTGTGAGTCCCTCCCCTGTCTCCTGAGGCCACTTCCCAAGGTGTTTGGAGACACATGACCATGTCTGCCCAGAACATTCTGGAAGGAAGCCTCAGCTGTCTTGACCAATGGCTGTGTGGTGGGCTTGGCATATTCCTGTTCTCACTCAGTGTTTACAGCTGCAGCCTGGTGGCAAGGCAGGCATCCGCCCTGTGTACAGGTCAAGGTCAAGTCCAAGGGTTGCCCTCTAGATGGACTTGGAAGAGAACCCAGAGCTTCTGAAACCAAGGGACACAATGTTTGAGTCCACAGGGACGGGATATGGGATGGGGCACTGTAAAGGGAGAGACCCAGGTCTCAGGACTGACGGGAACCTCCATGTGCAAGCAACACTGCTCAGCGCTGGGGACCCACAGCCTCACCAACAGGAACCTGGAATTTGCATATGGAGAAACCAGCCCAGGGTCGAGACCTGTTACCTACTCACCCGTGCCTCAGTGCCAGGCGCACAAAGCCTTTGCGATTAAGGAGTTCCAGGCTGTGCTGCCCTGGGGCCGTGTACAGGATCTCCTGGGCACCCCCAATCACGATGACCACCGCCTGGCCCCGCTGGGGCTGAGACAGCACAAAGTCCAGGCTATGACGGCTCACGGGACGCAGTCCTGGGTCATGAGCAGGGGGGAGAGTCACCACTCCCTCTGTGGCTCCCGATTCCCTCACCCTGCACATTAGCAGGGGAAGGGGCAGCCCTAACACTCCATCCCACATCTCATTCACATGTCCAGCATATCCAAGAGTCAGGGCAAGTCCAGGGGTCCACATGGGTGCCTCATAGGGGTGGGGCACACCACATCCTCCCACACAGAGCAGGGCTTACCATGCATCATGATGTATTCTCGTAAAAAGGGGACATAGAAGAAGCTGGCCATCATGGCTATCCAGGGCTGCAGCCCCGGGAAGTGCCGGGAGAAGTCATTGCTCTCAGTGAGGAAATTACTGAAGGCTCCGGTGCACATGACCCCGTGGGGGTGGGCTCCCAGCACGTAGTTCTGGCTGGGGGGCAGCTCTGCCGTCTTCACCAGCTGCAGGAGAGGAGGGAGGCAGAGAGGGGAGGCAGCAGCTGCAGGTGCTGCCTCTGCCCCTGCTGACTTCAGAGGTCAAGGCCCTGGGATGGAGTCAGTTGCACCTCTCCACCCCTGCCCCTCTGTGAGCCTAGGCAGCAGGTCTCAGGCTGCAGGACAGGGAAGGGGGAGCAGGTGCAGGAGAGTGGGGTGAGGAAGTGAGGTGATTGAGGCGTCTCTGGGGAGGGTGACCCCTCACCTTGATAGGAAAGTAATCCCTTTGGTGTTTCCAGATGGCCCAGGTCCTTGGCCACACAAATCGCCTTCCCCCTGCAGGCAGAGTTGCAGGTGGCAGAGTCCCCGAGGCACCCTCCCCATCTCTCCCCACCTGGAGCCTGCCCAGAGCTCACCTTGGCTGGGTGTGTGCCTGTCCAGGTAGAGCCACATCATGTAGAGAACAGACAGAGGCCAGAGCCGCGTGAAGAGGAGGTGGAAGAGAAGAATGACGTTGAATGGGACTGGGTTGAAGTGAGAAAGAAAAATGATTTCTCATCAAAACTGCAGGCTTCAGCCCAGCTCCCCTCCCTGCACCTGCTGCAACACTGGAGGGGGCACCTCCTGGGGTCCTGGTCCTGCCCCTTGCCACCGTTGTCCTGAGCAGGGGCACCGCCCTCCTCCCTGCAGCCCCTTCTCCCCTGGGGCACCCAGGCAGTGCTGCCTCCTCACCTCTCACCTGAGCACAAAGTCAGCACGTATTGCAGTGCGCCCAGCTTTTCCAGCCACTGCTTCTGCAGGGTCTTCACAGGGCGGCAGGGCATGGAGGCTGTGGAGTCGGCCATCCCAGTGCCACTCTCTGCCTGCATGGCTCCAGGTGCGGTCACAGGTCCCCTCTTCCAGGGTCTAGGCTCTGGATGGGAGATGCCCATGCTGGAGCCTCTGAAGTGCCCAGGCACCCTCTGGGACTGACCTTGGCTGTCCTGGTCCGTCAGTCTTGGCTAGTCCCTGGGAGGAGCTTGGAAGAGAAGTGGGTGTATGGGGGAGGGATTGGCGGCTGGCAGCTGGCAGCTGGGAGCCAGTGTGCAGGGAGTGCACAAGCAGAAGCCCAGTTGTCCCACGTGTGGGCCCAGGCCTAGAGTGGTCTTTGCAGGACCCTATACTGACCTCTTGGGGGTTCCAGGGAAAGTCAAGGCTTCCTGGGTGCCCCGGACCACTTCCATCTTGTGCAGAAATACACCTGCATGGAAATGCAGCCACAACCAGAGACAAAGAAAGCAAAGTGAATCCCTCCTCCCAACATAAACCTTGAAGTGCGGCTGCTCGTATTAACCAGAGAGGCAGCTGCCCACTGTGATCTTGTCTAGGGAGGGAAGATGTCCTGAGTGCTGCCTCTGTACACTCCCATCACACATCTGTCCTAATTAATCAGCCCCTGGTAGCTCTTTTACAAACATACCAGATCCACCGATCACTAGAAGTGTTGTCCCAAGTCATGTAGGCTGCAATTTAAAGCCACCAATGCTGTAACGGCTAAGGTATGATGCTGATGAACCTGTAAATATCGTAAGAGACTTGGGATCGTTGCTCAGAAATCATGAAATGATTCCAGCCGAGCCCGCTGCTGTAATGAATAGCTTGAGCGGCCTCCGTCTCTGGTGCCTGTTTGGAGGGAGGGCGTTTTCCCACTCAGATTTCTGTAACATTTTGGTGCCTTGGCTGGGAAACCCCTGTTGTGTCCATTGGCAAGTGCTGGGAAACCCCCACGTGTTCAAACAAGGCTGGCCCTTTGAGCCTGGACCTGCAGGACTCAGCTGGGGCCCGGGAGTGCCAGCAGTCTTGAGGATTGGAAGGCGTGCCTCCCGACTCATTCCCCGGGATCCTAACTCCCTGAGCTGTACCCACTCTCCCCACCAACATCCCACAGCCGAACCAGTGGGCAGATCTCCTGGACTTCGGGACCTGGTAAGTGGCCCCGGGCACTCAGTATTGCCGCCTGCCTTTGTGCAGGAGGGGAGACTGATCACCTCCCGGCAATCGCCACAATTGCATCTGTAGGGTCCTCCTAGGGAGGTGTTAGGGTCCGAAAACACCCACCGCCCGAGGAACGACGCCAAGAGACTCTCTCATGCAACCAGCAAAGGGTTAAAGATTTATTGATCCAACATGTTGGGGCTCTCTGAACATACAAGAACAGAGGAGCCTCGAGGAACTAAAGTATAGGGTTTAGAAAGGCAAAAACCGCAAAATCGGGAGTGGGGAGAGAATACACGGTTGCTAAGCGGTTGCTAAAATCTTACAATCAGCAATTATGATCTTAAGACATAGACAAATCACATCTTCATTATTAGCCCAGGTAACCCAGGTGTAACCTTTCTATTTTTAAGCTTGAGCAATCATGCTAGGGGGGTTTTGTGCTCTGCCAAGGGTGATGTAGTGCACTGCTATTGTCCGACTATTTGAGATCATAGTTTCAGACCAGAGTCTCACGGTGTGTGTGGGGGGGTGCTTTCCCAGAATGGAGTCTCAAGTGCTCCAAAATGGAGTCCCTACTGTCAAGGTGCTACTTCACTCTGTCATTTTTACAGCTGCACCAGGAAGGTTTAAACCTGTAAGCTTAAGCTTAATTTTTTTTTTTTGACAGGCAGAGTGGACAGTGAGAGAGAGAGACAGAGAGAAAGGTCTTCTTTTGCCGTTGGTTCACCCTCCAATGGCCGCCGCGGCCGGTGCGCTGCGGCCGGCGCACCGCGCTGATCCGATAGCAGGAGCCAGGAGCCAGGTGCTTTTCCTGGTCTCCCATGGGGTGCAGGGCCCAAGCACCTGGGCCATCCTCCACTGCACTCCCTGGCCACAGCAGAGGGCTGGACTGGAAGAGGGGCAACCGGGACAGAATCCGGTGCCCCGACCGGGACTGGAACCCGGTGTGCCGGCGCCGCTAGGTGGAGGATTAGCCTAGTGAGCTGCGGCGCCGGCCGCTTAAGCTTAACTTTTACACCCGCACATGTACAATTTTAACTCTTCAGAGGCACCCGTCTGACAATGGCAGTCATTATGATTGGTTCTGTTGGGCCCCCTGGTAAGGGCCCTCTCTGGTGTCTCTAATGGAAGAGAGAGCTGCAGGAAAGTGGGGGGGGGGGGCACGCGTCCCTGCTCCCCTCTGCTAGCGGCCTCTGCGAGACTCCGCGGGACCTCTTGGTCTCCTGGGGCTGGGGTTCATGACAGTGCGGGGAGGGGTCGGGGAGAGGCCACAGTGGCCAGGGGGAGCAGGAACAGGGGGCTCCTCTCTGCGGGAAGCCACACTGGTGATGGGCCGGGTGCTGTTCCAGCGCCCTCTGCCTGCACAGGGCTGCCAGCACCCTCAGCAGGAACCCAGCTCCTCCTGCTTGCTGCAGGCAGACCCGACCCCACCTTGCACAGGGCCTGACCCCTACCCCCTGACAACCCCGCACAGGGCCTGACTCCGGACACCCCGAGTCCCACACCCCGTACAGGGCCTGAGTCCAGCTCCCCAGGCCACTCACACAGGGCCTGACTCTGACCCCCCCGCCAACTCCTGTCCTTGACCCTGCACAGTGCCTGACCCCGCCCCCATCCCCCCTCACAGGGCCTGACCCTGCCCCCCCAGGGCCTTTAGCTTCCTGCTGCCCCCTCTCCTCGTCCCCTGTTCCCCAACTCTGGGATGAACACCTCTGTCCGTTCTCCTCCTTGGCTCCTTTCCTGCTGGATTCCCAAGCCCCAGGAGCTCCCACGTGGACCTGACCTGGGCTCAAGATCAGCTCCCCATCCTCAGCGGGGTCGTCCTGGCTTCTCTGTCCCAGCTGGGCTTCTTGGCTTCTGTGGTCCTCTCCTGCCTCCTGCTGAGCCCTCCCCACCCCCTCACCCAGGGCTCCTTGGGACGATTCGGAGGGGCTGAGAGTCCCCTCCGAAGGGTGAGGCCACCTGGGCGGGGACAGTTCCATGCTGCACCTTTAGAGAGCTGGGGCAGCCCCGGTGTCTGGGGAAAGTACCCGGTGGGCAGTGCAGTGGCCAGCGTGATGCTGGCCTCGCTCCCACCCCAGCAAAGGAGGAAGCACAGAGGCTTTATCAAGGCCTGGACAGCAAACGCACCCAGGCCAAGGGTGCTCAGAACCCAGATGTTGAGTTTCTGACCCCCCAGCTGAGCAGGATAAGGAGGCTCCCCCAGAGCGAGCCTGCCGGGTGCAGGGCAGAACCCCGGGGCAGTGGCCGGCGTGTGTCCCAGTGCTGAAGATGGCCTCTCCCAGCCTGAGTGCCTGGGTGGACACCAGCTGTGGTTCCTGCCCAGCTCCTTGCCAATGACAGTGGGACCGGCTGCCCTGACTGGTTCCTGTCACTCGCAGGGAGTCCTGGGTGGAGACTCCGGGTCCTGGTCTCAGCCCTGCCCCTGAGGCTGCTGTGGGCACTGCCACTGCCGGTGTCTGTGTCCCTGTGGATCACAAAGGGACTCTGCATACAATTCTACAGCAGCAAAGCCAGGAAGATCAGGCAGCAGTAGACTGAGCTGTCGCAGGGCCCTGAGCAATCCCTGGAAGGACCACGTGGGACAGAAATCCACAGAGAGGGTGGGACAGGGAGGGCAGAGAGCAGAGCTCCATCAGGACCAGGGCTGCTTTTCCCATTCCCGCCCATCACGGGCCCCATCCGGGTCCCAAGCAGCCCCCAGAGAGGCCCCGGGGGCAGTGGAAGGGATGGATGAAGCTGCTTCCTGGGAGATGTCCCACACGCTTCCTGTTGAACCTTGGACGCAGACACAGAGCCGGGGGAGCACAGAGCACACTGACCACAGCCTGTGCCGGGTGTCCCCTTGGACGTCCATGCTGTGGGCCATCGGTCCCCAGGGCGGCAGGCTGGGGAGCTGTGATCCGTAGGTGGGAGGTACTGGGCTCATTTGGGAGGGGCTGTGGCACCCCAGGCTCTCTGTCCCTCTTTGATTCTGGTTCTTTCATTGCTTTAAATTCTTTCAGATTTATTTATTTATGTTGAAAGTCAGGGTTACAGAGAGAGGAGAGAAAACCTCCATCTGCTGATTCACCCCTGAAATGACCACATCAGCCCAGGCTGGGCCAGTCAAAGCCACCAGCCAGGAATTTTACCAGGGTTTCCCATGTGGGTGCAGAGGCCCAAACCCTTGGACCATCTCCTGCTGCTTTCCCAGGCCATTAGCAGGGAGCTGGTGTGACCAGGATCTGATGTAACTTCAATCCACCACTCTCCATGCAGTGGTGACCACACCTGAGGTCATACAGGAGCCATGAACTTGAACTCCAACATGATCTCTTCACAAATGGCCAGCACCAGGTGTTTGCTTACAGAGACCAAAGCTGATGCAGACTGGGACCTTGGTCTCAGCCCTCGTCTCCCCGAGCCCCAGCAGGGATGACGGGGACACCGATGACGAGAAGATGGGTGGGAGCCTCCCCGGGCCCTCACCCTGAGCCCTCCTCTGTCCTAAGCCTTCACGTCTTCATCCGTTGCATCTTCACCTCGGCCTGTGGGGCTGAGCCTCCTGCTGGTGGCACTGGCTCTGGATGCTGCTGAAACACAGCCTGGCCTCGGCTGCTCTCCCAGCTCCAAGGACACTAAAGGCCGGGGAGCCCAGGGGCAGCTCTGTGCTCAGCTCTCTCTGCTCTTGCCCTGGGTCCTCCCATCCCTGCACCTGCTGGGCCCTGACCCAGCTCAGCACTGCCCCAGCTGCCCACTCCCTGCCCCTCCAGGGTCTCCTCCCAACCCTGTCCTGATCCTGCCAGCTCTGAGCTAAGCAGCAGCCTTGCTTCACAGGGGGAGCAGGGGCCCAGGACGGGGAGACGTCTCCCAGGTCCCGGGGCACAGTCAGCTCTCCTGGCAGGAGAATGCAGGGTGCTGAGACCAAACCGAGGCAGACCCTCTGCAGCAGACAGGACGGGGTGGCAGTGCCTGGCCGCTCTCCCCTCCAGAACCAGCATTTATTGGAGGG